AACTGGACACCGCAGGGAACAGAGACCATCTGTAGCAATCTGGACAGGGTAGCAGTCTCAGATCATACCTGCACATCAACTCTGCATGGGGGTTTGAACAGGGGCAGCTATATCGATGCAAGAAAACCCTGTGCAGACAACCTGAGGACTTGTCTACAATAGAAATGTTACATTCTCCCATTGGCATCGGTAACCCACCTCCCCAAGATGTGGTAGCTACATCAACAGAAGAATTCTTCCATTGACCTTGCGCTATCTACGCTGGAGGTCAGGCCAGCTTAATGTGTCGCTCAGAGTGGGGCTCTCATCTCAGAGCCCCAAAGCCAAACAGTTTTCTCCCTGGGCCCGGCCAAATTGGCTTGAAATGTCCAGAGTTCTCTCCCTAGCCTGGAGAGCGCTAAGGGGACATTGTAAGGGGAAGCAGTTTAATGTCACAGGGAGATGGGAATGATCAGGGTTAAGATGGGAAGCGTCTCCTGCGTTTAGCTCTGGAGTCACAACTAGGCTCCATAATAACAATTCCCCTGGCTCCTCCCCTGGGATCTAGACACCCGGCTTTGCCAGCAGAGTGTGTGAGTCCCCTCCATGCTGATCTCCGGCCCATAGGCCTGACACACTGTCCAGTGAGTCTGCAGGGCCTGTGTGCTCCTCAAACACCTGCTCCAGGCTGGGGCTGCCCAGATGCTCCCCACAGAGTTTACAGGCTCCGCAGGCCCTGACAGGAAGAGGTTTCTCTGGGCCCCTGAGCTCTGACAGCGTTTCTGCTTCCCCCCATTCCTGGGACAGGGAACACCAGCCCCAGGGACCCTCCCCCCAGGGCAGGGGAGCAAGAGCCCTCGGCCTCCTGGGCAGTGGAACCTCCCAGCACCGATTCCTGGGTCAACATGAAAGTGTCTCCACCTGGAGAGCTCTGTGCACCCAGCAACTACACAGATGTGCCACTGGATCAGGGGCCAGTACTCACCCCCTCCCACCCTGGGAGGAGAGGGGGCCTTGCTGCTCTCGGCCTGTATGTAGCCAGCTCAACAGGTGACAGAGCCAGTGCCCTGATGGAGCAGGAGCACTGTGGGGTAGTGCTGGGGGCTCTGTGCACTGCTGGGGCGCTCATGCCAGTGATCTCAGTGCAGACTGGCTCGGTGCAGGGCGGGCTTCCCCCACACGGTGGCTGTGACATCTCTGCACTGCTGGGAGTGTGTGTGTGTGGGCATGAGGGGTGGGACAGGCCAGATTTCCCAGCTGCAGGCAAGCAGATTGAAGAGACCCAAGGCCCTGCAGAGCCTGCTCCATTCCTGAGAGCCCCACGGCGTGTCCCTCAAGAAAGCTGCATTGGGTTCATTTAAATTCCTTTAAAAATGCTGCAGTGACCACGGTGCAAACCCCGGTGTGACTCCCCAGCTCTGTGTGGATGGGGCTGATCGGGTTTAGCCTGAACTCAACTGAGCTCATCCACTGCCAGAGCGAAATACGGAAGTCTGGGCACAACCTGACCTGCTCCTGGCAATTCCCACAAACAAGGCAGAGGGGACGGACTCAGGGAGGATGGGGACTCGTTTCTCCAGGGCTGGGCTGTGATCATGCTGCTGCTCTCAGCCCCTCCCTGCGTTGTCCTTGCACAGGGGTAGGCCCTAGGGTCTGTTTTTATTGCTACTCCTCCCCCATTGGGGATTTATCGCCTCCCACACCAGCTGTGTCACTTCTCAGGTCTGGGGCAGAGGGAGAGGTGCCAGGAGGGGCTGTAGGAAGCGAATCTCTCCCTGGTAACGGAGCTGGAGTCACCAATACAGACGCTCTCCGACTTACGCAAGTGTTCCGTTCTGGAATGCCTTGCATAAGTCAAAATTTGCACAAATTGGAAATGTATCTCCGGCCATTACTCAAAAAAAAAAAAAACCAACAAAAAAACTCCCCTCCTATTTCTAATTTACAGAAGTTTGTCCATAAACTCAGATTTGCGTAAATCGGGTTTGCGTAATCTGGGGAGCGTCTGTACAAGATCAACATCAGTTACCTGCAAATACTCGAGCTCTTCTGAGTCCTGGAACAACCAGCAGAGAGAGAGAGAGAGGTGAGAATTCACACAGCAGAGTCACCCGGAGTGGGGGTCAGGTATGTACATGGACCCCTCCCCAAAGCACCCAGCTCTGCACCATCTCACAACAGACCAGGGTTCAACAGACTCCAACTTAGGGTGACCAGATGTCCTGATTTTATAGGGACAGTCCCGATTTTGGGGTCTTTTTCTTATATAGGCTCCTATTACCCCCCAACCCCTGTCCCGATTTTTCACATTTGCTGTCTGGTCACCCTACTCCGACTCCCTCTCATCTTTTCTGTACCACTTTCACCTGCTGGGTTTCTCTCCTGTGCAGATCCCATCACACCTGCCCAGCCCAGGGGCTGCTCCATACAGGGGAACAGGCTCCCAGCAGCTGCTGTGCCCTGCCCTAGAACAGCAACCCAGGATTCTCACCTCTCTCTGCAGCCAGCCCCTCTGGAAGGAAAGAGAGAAAAACCCATCACTGGCGTGGGTCAGTGTCACTAGGACTAGAAGTCACAGCTCTGTCAGATGATGTGATAGGGACCACGGAGACTAAGGACAAGGAGCCAGCTTCTCATAGGTATTTCAGCACCTAAAGGTGCCGGGAGGCCCCTGGGATTTTCACAAGTGTCAGAACAGGTGAGGGGCCCAACTCCTATGGACACTAATGGGAGTTAGGTGCCTCACCTGCTTTGGGGCTTCTGAAAATTCCACTGGGTGCCTGTTTAAGTGCCTAATGATTCAAATACCTCTGAAAATCTGGCCCAAGCTGCTCAAACACTAGGGCCCAGATGCTCAGCTGGTGTCAATCAGGGAAGCTCCACTGGCATCCAGGGAGCTGAGAATCCAGCCCTGAGTCTGTGATAACGTCTCTCACATCAACCAGTTACGAACGTTATCAAGAAATCTCCCCTTGTCCCTCTGCCCCACGCAGGATGTGTTGGAGGGAGACTCTCACATTGCACAGCAGGAGGGAGCTCTGCAGGGATAGTGACAGTGGGGGAGGCACTTTCACTCCAAGCTCAGAACACCTTCCCTGAGCTCAGAAATCCACCAACCCCTCCCCATGAGGAGTCACTGGGGTTTCTCAGCCAATCCAGCTTTTCATGGGTTTTTTGGGTTGTGTTTCTCAGAAGGCTGATGTGACTGGATTGCACTGACCAGCACAAATACCCCTGGAAAGTGAACTCCCAGCTCCCTCTCTGTGCACCTCCCGCCAGAACAGAGACAGTCACAGCCCAGTGA